CGCCGAGCGCTAAGAGGCTGCCCCACCGAAGAAGATGATGATGCAGCCGCCTGGGATCCCCCAGGACCAGCTAGCACGTGCTCCTGCTCCATCAGTGCTGGAGCAGTGGCAGCTGATACCGGCAGAGCCGGGGGCTCCGAACTAGGTGTAGTCGTCACCGCCCTACGACGTGTAATCAAGTCTAACATCTGCACAATTTCATTAATCAAATGTAGCACATACAATGTCATTAAAAAATTGAACTAACTAATTAAAATCATAGTTTGACCTAGGGTTTGCGATTTCGGAGTATCCGGGACTCCGATCCACGATCCGTCGAATCCTAAACGTCCTATAAATACATGGTACCACATATGTGAGTTTCAGCTTGATCCAACGGTCCGAACATATCAAACCCAAAAATCGCACAATAGGTTCGAACCGTTCGAGACTCAATCAATAACCAAATTCCAATCCGAGCACACCTACGTGCTCGTGACAACGAAATGTTTGCACTGGGACAAAAAGCCCTATGCCACAGTACCCCACGCACCACCACACGCGTCGGCAGCGCGTGGGTGCCCTAAGCGATAACAATCACCGGGAAATCCTAAAAATTAAGGGCCAAGGTTCCTACCCTAGGTTCAAAACATCAATTGGAGGCACTTTTGTTCTCGGACTTACCCCGAAAAACGGCCGGAAGTGGCCAGAATTTCAATTTCAAAACCGGCCGAAACCTAGGGTTTCAAATTCACTACCCTATGCACACAATCAATCAAATCCTACCCAACCATCAGCTAAAGCATCAAAAATAGTCTAGAAAGCATACCTCAATTGCCCGATTTGGTGCCCGGAGGAGAGAGAACAATGGCGGCGAAGATTCGGCCTAAACGGAGGAAATCACGGTGGCAGGATGGACGGCGACGGCGGAGAAGCTCCAGGGTTCGACGATTGTGGCCGCAGGGTGTGAATTGGGGCGGAGTAGGGCTGAGGTCACGGCGGAGAGAGAGGGAGGTTTTAGGGTTCCGTTTGAGAAACTGGGGAAGAATGAGAAGATCGCGATTTTCAGAAAACTTATTCGACTTTGCGCGACGAATAACAAATTCCGTCGCGCAAAATTTATTAAAATAACTTTTGCGCGACGCAAACATGACTTCCCGTGGCGCAAGGTTCTGAAAATATGACCTTTGCGCGACCTAAAAACATCCTTTTGTCGCGCAAAGTTGTGAAAATATCACCTTTGCGCGACGAAAACACTAGTGTCGTCGCGCAAGTTTGTCCAGCCACCCAAATTTTGGGATTTGATTTTGAGCGGGGAAGATAAATCAAACGATTTTGCGCGACGAAGATACTCAAGTTCGTCGCGCAATCTAGCTTTTGCCAAAACAAAATTTGCCAAGTGTTGGACGCAAATTTTTTTCATTTTGCGCGACGAAGGCACTTTCTTTCGTCGCGTAATCTAGCTTTTGCCAAAAAAAAAATTTGCCAAGTGTTGGGCGCAAATTTTTTTCATTTTGCGCGACGAAGTCACTTTCTTACGTCGCGAAATCTAGCTTTTGCCAAAAAAAATTTTGCCAAGTGTTGGACGCTAATTTTTTTTTCATTTTGCGTGACGAAGGCACTTTGTTTCGTCGCGTAATCTAGCTTTTGCCAAAAACAATTTTGCCAAGTGTTGGACGCAAATTTTTTTCCATTTTGCGCGACGAAGGCACTTTCTTTCGTCGCGTAATCTAGCTTTTGCCAAAAAAAATTTCGCTAAGTGTTGGAGCGGAGAAGGGCTGCAATATTTTTTAATCGTTTTGCGCGACGAAGACACTTGCTTTCGTCGCGCAATCTAGCTTTTGCCAAAAAAAATTTCGCTAAGTGTTGGAGCGGAGAAGGGCTGCAATATTTTTTAATCGTTTTGCGCAACAAAGACACTTGCTTTCGTCGCGCAATCTAGCTTTTGCGAAAAAAAAAATTCGCTAAGTGTTGGAGCGGAGAAGGGCTGCAATTTTTTTTCATCATTTTGCGCGACGAATCAATGTCCTTTCGTCGCATATCTTTTGCGCGACGAATACAATGTGATTTCGTTGCGCAAACCCATACCCTTGTACCCTAAACCATAAAACCTATACCCTAAGCCCTAAACCTGAACTCCTGAACTAGTTTCAATGATCCAACCGGCAATCTTCTTTTTTTTTATAGTTCAAGATCGTATACGTCAAAAATCATAATGAATGAACATTCAGAGATTGAGTAACGGGACAAAACTTTTCGACGTTTCTAAACAAATTGTCCCGATTCAACGGTGATTTTAACTCCGATCTTGAAATTTTTTTATAGCTGCAA